TTGATGCACCTTAAAAGCTGTAAAGGTCATGAGGACAAATTAGAGCATTCCTGCGTTGTGAAGTGGCTGTAGTGTGATCTCTTCAGTTCTGGGTTTGCAGCTTGGGGGAACTAGTTTGTCTAGGAGCCTAGCCAGTAAGAGTCTGAAGAGAAAACAAGAAAGTGGCTATTTGAAACTTTCAGTAGGACAGCTCTTGGAGAGGACTAGAACTTGTAATAAAGTTTTATGATTGATGAGAGCTGTTTTACTTCTGAACCTATATTATATACCATAATAGGAATGTAGCAACTCTAGGATCCCGTTTCACCACGTGTCTGCTTCTGATGGATAAAGGGAAGCTGGTGATAAACTGGAACTTCATAAAGCGGGATGCACACTCTTTCCAGGTACTTCTTCACACTTAAGTTTACCTGGTCCCTGAGGCTGGCCCTAGCAGCTCGATTTTCTGTTTATCCACTGTTTTTTCTGTAACAGTGATTCCCAGTTGCCCTCTTCATGATACTCATCTGGATTATCTGTTAAGAAAAGATACCTGGATTCTGAAAGGTGATGACTTATAACTCCCACCACCTGAGAGCTAAAACTTGAGAGAGAGAGAGAGAGAGAGAGAGAGAGAGAGAGAGAGAGAGAGAGAGAGAGAGAGAGAGAGATTGATTCTTCACTAAAAGCGTGTTGGCATTTTTGGTCTTGCTTGTATGGAGAGTTAAACAGTATTGGGGTTCATGTACTTGGGAATCTTGTTAAGCATGAAGTGTTGCTGAACATTGAGGTGCACATTCTAGATCCCCGCATAGGCAGGGGATAGGCATAGGCAGGCAGATCTCCGTGCTAGAGGCAAGACTGTTTACATAATGAGCTCCAGCCAAGGCTAGGAAATGAGACCCTGTCCTAAAAAAAATAAAATAAAATAAGATGTACAACAGTTGTGCCATCAGGATCCAAAAAAACATTCCAGCAAGGTTTTAGAGTTTGTTAATATCTTACTGTTTAGTCTTTGATTTTACTTTTGTCTAAATTCCTGTTGAAAATTTTATTTGCTTTTAATTTCTAATGTTATATTGTCCTAATGTATTAGGAAGAACTTAGGAAAACTAAAGGGAAAGTAAAAACTTGTAAATATGACCAAGTGTAGAATTTAATAGGATCAGTTAGGTTTTTGTGTTTGCTTTTATTTTGCTAAGCTTTGTACTTGAAAAGTTACTAGCAAGGCTGAACTTAGAGATTGTCTGCTATATATCCTTAGTTTGTTCATTCAAACATCGCTATCTCTTAAGTCCTTATGTGAAAAAGAAATGCACGTGAATTGGGACATAGCACATGGACTCTGCACTATGCTAGAGAAAGGTGCATTCTTTGTTTGTTCCTTTGTTTTGTTTTGTTTTTTGCTAAATAGCGAAAGTGTGCATTATTTAGGAATCCCTTTTCACCAAAGAACCATATTCAGTTCAGTTCCAAGAACTGCTTGTTTATTCCCTTTGTCTATTGTAACTAGTAGTAGCTTTAGTATTATCTCTCATGTCCCAGATGCCATAAAGTGAGTGTGTTTCAGGAAACTCTGAGATACTGTAACTTTGTACATGAGCAGACGGCAGGAACCCTGAAGACAGTTTGGAAGTGGAAGTATTTTATGCCTATTCATTCTAAATAAGTGGCAGTTGTTTTAAACTCAGAAAGATATTTTAAGCTGATTTTTCTTATATTAGAATTTAATGGCCGGGCCGTGGTGGCGCACGCCTTTAATCCCAGCACTCGGGAGGCAGAGGCAGGCGGATCTCTGTGAGTTCGAGGCCAGGCTGGACCGACAGCCTCCAAAACAGAGAAACCCTGTCTTGTAAAAACCAAAAAAAAAAAAAAAAAGAATTTAATGGTACTATTTTTAATACTTGGGAAATAAGAGGAACATGTATGAGAAATTTCCATTTGTAAAGGAATCCTACATCATGGCATTTATTTCTAAACAAAAACTAAGAGTATCATTTGTGAAAGTTCTTAACATTTACGGTCCTTGGTGTGCGTGCGTGTAGGTGTGTAGGCATGAGGTCAGCTTACAGTGTTGTTCTTCAGGAGCATCCTCCTTGCCTTTTTTTTCTTTCCTCGAGACAGGGTTTCACTGTGTAGCTCTGGAACTCGCTCTGTAGACCAGGCAGGTCTTGAACTCACAGACATCCACCTGCCTCTGCCTGCGGACTGCTGGGATTAAAGGTGTGCACCATCACTACCTGGCCCACCTTGTCTTTGAGATAGTGTGTCCCTCAATAGGAATTTGGGGCTTGCCTACTATTTGGCTAGGATAGGATAGGCTAGCCAGTGAAGCCTTGGCTGTCCGCATTTTCCGTATCTAGAATTAAAAACACATATACTTTTGCTCTAGTGCCTGCCTTTTTATTTTATATAGGTGGTAGGGATTGAGCTCAGGTACATGGCACATACTTTACTGACTAAACTAAGTTTTTAATGATTTATGTTAGTAGGAAGTACTTGTGCCCATCGGTGTGTCAATATGTATTCTGATAGTCTGTATTGATTGTCAACTTGATTGGAATAAGGAGCACCTAAAAACCTAGTGAAGCACACTTGACTGTATCTGTGAGCATTTCCAGAGTACTTTAAGGGGAGTACTGTCCAGACCTGCTTATGTGGGTAGCATGTTCCCATAAACTAGGGTACCACATCAGCTACCGTGGAGAAAGGAGAGCCCTTGCTGCTCTTCTGTGGAACTGTAAGAGTGGGCTGAAACCTCCAAAACTGAGAAAAATAAATCTTTCCTTTTTGATTGTTTATGCAGGCAAATGGTCACAGTTACAATGAAGCGAACAAACATATTAGTTAGCCTTTGGGGACCTGCAGCTAGAAGGTAGATGAGATCACTTCTGGATTTGGAATTTATTATCTGGGATCTTCAGTTACCTGTACATGCAGGACCATTTCTCTTGCAGAAACAAGTACCATTTTGTGTGTTGCTCATCTCCGATGGCATGGCTGAAGTTCACAACTGTACAAGGGAAGAACCTTGTCAAATGAGGTCCTCGGGCCTCAGCTCAGTGGGCCCTTGCTTTTATGTAGCAAGCTTTTTGCTGGCCTGGCATGGTTCTAGGTTGTCTATGAAACCATTTCAAATGAAGAAGCATGTGGAAGGAATGAAAGAAGCACATTTCAACTTCGATTAAATCTGGCAGAATAGTTCAGTGTTTTAAAAGCCTTACTGGAGCCATTGATGGATATTTCATGCTACTGAAACCATAAGTGGGTCCAGTGTGTAATGTATATTCTAAAAACAGTTCTGTTATAAAGTGTTTGGGGAAGCATTTTCCATAGTGACAATATTAAAAAGTTGTTATAAAGCTGGTGATAGTACACTGTTAGTTTTGGAGGAGAAACTGCTTACTAAATACAAGATCAAAAGAAGTCAAACATCAGTATATGCAGAAGGTTTGAGTAGAATTATTGTACATAGAGATGTCAGCAGGAACTTTCAATGGTTCTAGCCACCTACCCTGATCGCTGAACCTGTCAGTCTCCTTGTCTTAAGTGATATTTATACGTGTTCTTACGAGTAAAGTCAATAATCAGTTGATCCTGCTCTGCCCATTGCCAGTGCATTCTTAGTGAAATATCTGAAAGCATAGCCTTTCTTCTGATCAGCTTACTTTAAGCTTCCAAGATATTAGATGGTCAAAGTCATTGTTTATGCTCCTGACTGGCCACCTTCATGAAACTCTCCTTGTAATGCTGGTCCTGTCACCTTCTTTTCCCATTTCAACAAACAGACAGACCAGCCTTGCTTTTGCTTCCCACACTTGTTCATTTTCTGTTTGCTTCCCATGACATTAGCACAAAAGTTCATTAAAGGTTGTATTTTTTATCAGCTGATGTGTATTTACTATCATACTTACAGGTAATCAATAAAGTATATAACAAGAGATCGTTCCTGTTACCAAATTCAGTTGTTCTCCAAATTCTGTCTCTAGTCCTATTTTGCTGTTTTTCACAGTTTTTTTTTTTTTTTTAAATCGGGGCCATGGATTCTTCCTTTGTAGTCTATGCTTTGCTTTAATTCTGTAGTTTTCATTTTCACTATTTTTGCTTCCCAGCCTCCTGGGTTCCAAGCTTGTTTCTGTGGTTGGTTCTTTTGTTAAGTGAGAATAGTTTTGAAGCGCAGATGAATCTCTAAGTGGCAAACCCTCCTTTCTCTCCAAAGTGGTATTAGATGTATGTGCCTGCATAAAAGTAAATCACCTAGAAGCATATTAAGTAGTTACATTGGAACAGAAGACTATCGTTAGTGTTTCCCTACTTCTGTTGCTTAGCTCTGCTCCTATTTATCTCTTGCATTGACATATTAAATCTAGTAATGTTGCCCTGTGTGTAGTTCTGCTCCTCTGCTCTTCCCTTCGTGCTGTTTAGAGCCAAAGTGATCCTCATGAGTCTACCACACTATGTCAGTGGTTTTCCCTTTCTCTATATTATAAAGTTTAGGAATGGTTTGTTGTGTTCTGTAAAGTCGGGGAGCAAAGTTTAGCTCAGAAAAAGGAAGTTGGGGGCTTTCTTTTTCTTCCATTTTTAAAAATTGCTAAAACCAGGACTCAGCTGTTAGCAGCTGTTGAGCCCCTTTCACTGGTAAAGTTACAGTAGAACACTAAGTGCTCAGATTTGACAAGGTCTTAGGGCTGTTGATGCAGTACTCTAATTCTTGAGTTCTTCAGAAGAAATTTAGGTCTTCAGAATAATCTTGTATGGACCTGTTTGATGACTAAGAACTACATCCTGTATCTTAAGTACTTGGTATTCATTTGTTCAGTGAAGGAGCAATGATTAGACTCCTTGGGTTCATGGGATAGAAGAATAAAGTATCTTGTTGACTAGGGTGACTTTCACATGGAAAATTTAAGAAATCAACGTCTGAATATAATAGCCATCAACACTAGTTTTAAAAGAATGTTTCTAGACTTTTGTTGTTTCCCTTTAATATAAATTACTTTTTCTCCTTTCCCTTCCACCAGATTGCTGTTCTTTTTTGTGTACCATTCTTTATCATCCACACATAGAAAGAGGAAGAAATTCTGCAGTGAATGAAGATTCCTCTGCATTTTAGCATTGCTTTTTCTACTGTAGTTGGCTTTTGAATGAGGATGACAATGGAAGAGATGAAGAATGAAGCTGAGACCACTTCCATGGTTTCTATGCCTCTCTATGCAGTCATGTATCCCGTGTTTAATGAGGTGAGTGCACATTTAAGATTTCTGCTTCATTTATTCTTGTTCGTCCACATGATAGACGTCTCCATGTCTGAAGCTCATGTGTTGGCTGTTGTGTCCAATTCATAATATAATTATAGAAGCAAAAGCAAATAGTTATGGAATTCTTAGTAGGGTAGATAGGCATTACATGTAATTCTAAGTTGAAAATTACAGTAAGTACTATCAAGTAGGAAAAAAAATGAGAAATTGGTAAATGGGCCCTATTTTAGGGTTCAGAATAGGCCCCACTAAATAAGACACATAATATGTTAGAATCTAAAAGAGACAAATAAGAGTAGAAACAACTACATTGTAAGTAGCCAGAATGGCAGACAAAGGTCATGTTTGCAAAACCCTTTTTAAAAATTGATATTTGGAAGATGCTATTGTGTTGTGTCTGAAGAAGTCATGGTAGCTTTTTTATTGAACAATTTACTTGAACATGACATAAGTACATTTTGGTGGGTTTTTTTTTGTTTAAATTAATATTGTCATTCTAATATATGAAGAGAATTCTAGGGCTGTAAGTCCGTTGGATATTAATCAGTTCCTTCTCCATAATGTTGGAGACCTTGAATAGTGAAATTATTTTTCTAAATTTCCATAAGACAAACATCAATTCTGGGTGTCCTGCCTCTAAAGTCAGTGGCTTTAGCAAAAACAACAAATAACAACAACAACAAAAACAAAAACCTGTACTTAAATAATAACTATTTTTTGCTAAACAATACAGTTAATCTTCAAAACCACCAATCTTATTGTTGCTAAGATAGCTGGAAACCATTATGAAAATGCCAGTGCATTTTAGAGTGTTATTCTTAGACTCAAATCCATTTGTCCTCACACTATTTTGGTTGATACATTTGATATACTTATGAGCCTTAATCTTGGAGGCAGCAGAGAATGATTCATTATCCTTTTTGTCAAATCAGGCATATTGTAGAATTTCAAACACTGCCAAATAGGTTCAGAAGCCTTTCAGGAGATTTCAAAATCATGGTGTAAGTCAAGATTTCTGTCTCCATTACATAAAAGATTCTGGAGGCAAAGGATTTCAAGGCTAGTAATATATAAAGTCTGTATCATCAGACATTCATCTTCTGCTGTACTGTGTCACAATCTCTTCAGTATGCATGATAGCTACCAAAGCCCCATCATGTTCAAGTTGTCCAGAAAGGATAAGATGTGAAGTCTTGTTTCCATCAGGGTCCACTTACTTAGGGTAACCTTTACCAAAAAAAGGTTCACACAAGACTTCTATGTACGTCTGTTTTTAAGAACTTAATCTTATGTCCAAACTTAACTGCGCAAGAGGCTAGAGAATTCAGGAATATTTTCTTAGTGAGGAGAAAACCTCTCGTAAAACTTGGTTCAGTAGTAGCCCCATCTGGGGCAGCTCTCAACAAGGCATTAATTAGATCCATCTTTTTGTTGTGATACTTGTTTGCAAGTAGCTATTATTAGAAGAAAGTGCTTCTTGTGGTCAGTTCTGACTATTTATTTGCTTAGTACCCTGGTAGGACATGGGGTAGAGAGAAACAAGCAAAACACCTGTTCTCCAGAGTCCACTAGGGAACATGGCTGTTTAAAGTTACTTAATTGCTTTTGCACCAGGAGTGAGACAAGGAGCCATGCCTTAGATTAGGTAAATAACTATGTCTGCAGTAGTTAGGCTTTGAACTTCCTTCACACATAGGTATTTTGTCTTTTCAGGTCTGTGTACCTGTCTTAGTATCTACTGCATAATGTTAGGGAGAATTTCTGGTTTAGTCTGGTGTTTTCAGTCTTGGTCAGAGAAATCAGTTTCATCCTCTAGTGAAGAGGATTGAGAAAAGGGTTTTGTTCTAGAAACATGGGGCAACTTCCTAATGTGATGACTCTTGACTTAGCTCCTAAAATATGGGGCTTAGGTTAAACAGACTGTTGGAATTAATGCTGATTAAAAACTTGTTTTTACTCACATGTAAGAGAGATTTACTTCCAAGAAAAGGAAGGGGTTGTGAATAGACTGGTGAATCTATAATAATGATGGCGCTGCTCTCCAGGTGAGATCTGAAAGCACAGGTGAGATCTGAAAGCACACGTGACCTCACGGGCCTAGACCTAGTGATTCATCGTTGTCCTAAGAATTAATTTTCAGGAGTAACATTTGAAAATGAAGTGACTGCCTTTGGCAGATTGAGTATTGCTGCAGATTACTGAGGTCTGATTCTGAGGTTAAGTTTACTGACCTAACCTTGTAGCGCACTTTTTAAAAAATTACTTCCTGTCTTGTATTCAAAAGCATGCTCTAAACTATTGTTTTAGATATGACAGTGGTACTTACATTTCCTCTTGAGAGCCGAAATCTAGAGTTGGATGGAGGAATAGAATAGAGGAATTATTGGGCCTTCACAAATGAAGTGTTAGGTTAAAAGGTTTTGTAGTCACTGCTAGCATTATTTAGCATTTCTGTGTGTTAATGTAACCTACCTGATGAATTAAAATCATAGTAACTATAGTTCAAAACTAGGCCTATTCTATATGGGTACCAATGGGGAAATTATAGTTTAGTTTGGCTTTATTATTCTGTACTGTACTAGTTTCAAATTACGTCTCCAAAAAATAGTACTATGGTAGAAATGCGGAAAGTAGATGTGGCTCTCCCGCTCTTTCATAGTGGGTCATAAGCATGAGGAAGTCTGCTCACCCCTCCTTACGTTTATCTCGAGAGTATCATTCATCCAGAGGGACAAGCTGTATGTTAGAAAGTTTAGGACTGTTACTCTCAAGTTTACAAGTCACTTATTTATGGCTCTCTGAAGTAGTAAAGCAGCTGTAAGATAAGTGAGAAGGAGCACACTTCTTGCCTTGCCAGCTGACCGTGAGCTCAGCGTCCAAGAATACTGTACACGGGATCTTACTGTGAGATAGTCCTCCTTACTGCATGTGGTTTGTACAGACCTCACGCCAGGCCTTTGGTCAGGGTCTCCTGTGACTGTGTCATTCTTACTGATTCTTTGGAGAAGAGAGGGGATTTACTTCTTCCAGGAAAAATAAGCCATGTGTGTGGAGAGACATGTTTTAAGGTAACATACAGTTTTCTGATGCATTGTATGGAATATTTTGTGAAATACAGTTTTGCGACTAAATTGGAATTTTTGGCTGCAAACACCTATCAATAAATTACTGCAAGATATACTTCTGAATAAATAATATTTTATTCAGAAGCTTCTTAGTGCGCTACATTTTCCTAGTAAATAACTGCGACATGAGACTACTCCCCTTAACCTGTTTACTACTCCTTTCTCCCTTGTTGGGAGGAGGAGAATTCAGACAAACTTTGAAAAGTGAATGGATTTTTACCTGTAGTCTTGTCATCCTGAGGTGTGAATTAGTGCTGTGCTGTGGAAAAGACATACTTGCCTGAATTTCCTGATTACTAAAATTGAAATAAATAATAACTCATTTAACTTTCAACAACCTGTGAAAATATATTAAGGTATTGTAATGTATTTAGAATAATTCGGCATATGGTGTTTTAATTACCAAGCTCTTATCCAGATTTTTGATAAAAATGTAGTCAAAGAATGTTTGAATACTTTCCAACAGTTTCAGCAGGTAATTTTGATACTAGTAGTTTTAAATTTCATTGCAACCACAGTTCTCCTAACCCCCTCACCCCCACTTTATACTGTTTACATGGCCCTTCTGATCTGCTGTGTCATGCAGTTTGGCATACCCAGGAGTGACTGATTGAACACCCGGAGGGAGCCTTTTCTTTTTGTCTGTACAGAGCATAACTGATGGCATTCTGTGGCAGCTCACATGCCCACTTTTCAGCCTGATTCACCGAGGTCTCACAAGACACCGTAGGAGTTTTTAGTCTTGTGACATGGCCCAGTTTAGTTGAAGAAATAGGATATATAAATTTGGAGGCAGTATAAAGATGGTGGTCACCTTGGAAAAACCTAATCTGGGCTGATGTTAAGAAAGCCAGTAGGTTCACTCATTTATTTATTTTTATTTTTTATTACATTTTTTAGAAAAGAGTTTGCTTCACATGTCAATCCCAGTTCACTGTCCCTACTCTTCTCCCTCACTCCACCACCACCCCCTCCAGCCTCCCACCCTATCTCCTCTTCCTTCCACATAGGAGATATCTAGAGTCTGTCATTTCACTCAGGGCAGGGTCCAGGCACTCCCCTAAGAGTCCAGGCTGAGAGAGCATCCCTCTTTGTGTTATGGACACATGATGTCTGTTTGTATGCCAGGGATAAACACTGATCCACTGCCCAGGGCCCCATAGGTTGCCCAGGCCTCCGCACTGACTCTTACACTCAGAGGATCTGCATCAGTCCCATGCTGGCCTCCCAGCTGTCGGTCTGGGGTCCAAGAGCTCTCCCCTTGTTCAGATCAACTGTCTCTGCTGGTTTTGCCAGCCCATTCTTAGTCAATTTGCTCATCGCTCCTCTCTCTCTGTCACTGGGTTCCAGGGGTTCAGTTCAGTGTTTAACTGTGGGTATTTGCCTCTGCTTCCGTCAGTCACTGGATGAAGGAAGCCAATAGATTTATATGCAGTTTAGAACTAAATAACCTAATTATTTTGACCTTTAGAGGAAAAAAAATCACAAGATTTTATGGAAGACTGTTGAAAACCTAAGCAAAAGCTGAATTACTTTATATATTTTTTCTTTTTATTGTCTTCTAATTATGGGCTTGGGAACTCATGTGGTGCTTGAAAAATAAGGGAATAACTGATGCTTCTAGAGGGATCGGTGCAATAAATGAGCTCTTGATAACTGGGACTACACTTGAATTAATAAAGTGTTTTATTAGTCAACCTGAGTATAAATTTGGTGAGTGCATTTGATAATAGTCAGTGCTGAAGAGCTGTCCTCAGTTGTGAGGAAGTACCTGCTGCTGCAGTTGGTAGTAAGGGGTTGAGCTGAGGGCCGATGCTCCCTTCCTTAGGGGTCCCTTCAACAGTACGGCTGCTCCATACGCTGTCTTAAACATTCTGGTCTCCTGTTCAGATTTGTTTTCCCTCTCCTTTCAGTAGTGACATAAAGTGAGGCTGAGGCCCAGCAATGCCATTTCTAATTTTGGAGTCCAGCGATGCAAAATGTAGCTGTGCTCTCCCTTCTCCACTAGACCTAACTATGTGCTATCAATTTCTAGTAACCTAGGAATTTTGCAAACAGGTCAGTGTTATTTATGAAGCCACTCTAGCCAACAGCCGTAACTCCAGCAGCTCTCGGGGTTCCAGTCAGTAATAAGTATTGGAAACAAACTGCAAACTCCTCTTCTGTTATAGGCTAACATGAAATCATCATATCTGGTGTGTCGCCAACTCGGAAGAAACCATTGAGTGTTAGAACTTGTAAGGATGGCTCTAAGAAGGCAGGCCACTTTGAGACCAGTTCAGATACTATCGCCTAAAACGAAACCGACCCAGTCCCACTTTTCAGCTGTTCATAGCTACTGAGTTCACACGCCTGGTTAGCCAGGGCCTGGACACTCCTTAACATTGACTACTTAAACATGATAGAACTCGGTGTCTATCAGTTCTTACAGAGAAGCAGCAGCTCCAGTGTGGGAAATGATAGACTGTGTGTATGCAGGCCTGAGAGCCAAACCTATGCCATGAACCCTGTCTCAGTACAGAGTTGGAAATTCATATCAGCCGGAGTTTCTCTGTAAAATTATGATGATAGCAACAAGTATATTGTGACTAGAGACTATTCTGTAGAAAGAGACTGCACGAACTAGCACTTAGTTGATGCCTAATGAGATGGCCTCTGTTGTTAGAATGTTCTCAGAGCCTTGGCAGAAGAGGGATGGTGTGGTGAATATGGTTTTGTTAAATCTTAATCACAACTGAGGGGTGTAAAAGAAGTACTTTTTATAGAGTGGGTAAAAGTCTTTCTGCCTAAGTGCAATACAAACCTATATAGACTTGAGAACAATTTAGATGACTTCATGGAAATGGGAATTTCTCTGCAAACAAGAGGTCTGGGCCTTGTGCCTTGCAACACTTGGGCATTGGAAGCCAGATGAGTAAGAAACCTATTAAGTTCATTGCAGATATGTGGGTGTACAGTATACCCCAAAATGACTCCCAATAGAGCTTTGGTTTAGTGCTTCACAGTTTATAGACTTCTGTTTTACTCAGATAGTCTGACCTTCCTGAGACCATTTTCTTTGTAAGATACAGATGTGTAAATTTAGTCTAGAAATCTCTGCCTTGAATACATTCTGCCAGCTCTGCACTTGTCCCTCTAATCTTTTACTTGCATCCCAGTGAGGATGATAACGGAGTAATTTAATAATGCTACTGCTTGAAGGCACTTTTCTGACTCAGACCTTTGGCTGCTCAAAAGAAGGCGCTGAGCTCTAAGCCCAGAGAAGAACATGGACTGTCAGTATGGAAACATTCATCCTGTCTTCCTGTCCCAGTTTCCTTAACAACCTGAGATCAGATGAGCTGTGCCATTACTTAAACTCTAATTACACTATAATTATGTGAACTATTGGAAGTAGTTGAGATAGACCTTACCAGTGTTGAAAGCTTAGTTGATTCTTGCCTTGTCTATTTACTGGGCTCCTTTACCTTCCCTTTACCCAGTAAGTGCATTTTATAGGCCTCTACCAAAGCTAGGTTAAAAACTAAGTTAAATAATACATTGTTTACTGGGAGATAAGTTATTTTTGACAGGTTGTTGCTTTTGCTTTGTCCTGAAATACATAACTTGGTACTGATACATTTCTTACTACATTGTTTACTATTAAAATAAATTGACTTACTAGCTTCACATTTGATGTTAAATTAAAGTCGTTAAATTTAACCTTTAAAAAATTATTTTTATGCATATGAGTGTTTTGGTTGCTGCATGTATGTGTGCAGTTCCTGTAAAGACCAGGAGTTGTGAAATCCTCTGGAGCTAGAGTTGCAGATAGATATGAGCCATGATATGGGTGTTGGGAATTGAACCAGGGTTCTCCACAAGAGCGGTGAGTACACTTAGCTGCCCAGCCTTCTCTCTGGCCCCACAGTTAACTTTGATTTACTGTTTTAGAAAATTACTTACTGTTGGAGTAGTAGAGGACAGATGGAAATGTCTCTGAAGTTTTCAGATAATCTAGACTTAGTTTTTTTGTCAGCACTATTTGCTGATTAGCAAAGTGTAGGCTAAGCTTAATCCTTGGCTGAGGAGGGAAGAGAGGGAGGGAGTCTACATGTTTCCTTATGCTGGTCATTCTCTGATCATTACTTGTGTGCATGCACAGACTATACCTAGGGAAATAGCAATGAATTTATCCTTAATCCTCATTATTTTCAGGAATTCACGCTTATATGTACATTGTTTCTCTTGAGACTTAGAATTCTGTATCATGTGTGTATATCATGTATTCTGTATCATAAATCTCCCTTTATTTTTAAACTTTACAAGTTTGAGTACGTTTTAAATTTTTGAAGAATTATTATTTATTTTTATTAAAACACTTTTACTTCTTGTAAGATGGATTTATCATTACTAGAGAATGAAATATCAGAAATGTTTTTTTCCAAGAATATTTATACTAATGATTTTAAACTTCTCATTGTAGCTAGAACGAGTAAATTTGTCTGCAGCTCAGACCCTGAGAGCCGCTTTCATTAAGGTGAGGTACAGTAACTTCTTAGATTTATTATACTGTTGTATGTAAGTCTAAATACCATGTGATTGTTGCTAGTTTTCTTTTAGTGGAGATTATTTTAGATTACTTAGATATTTTTTATGCCTTAGTCTATTCTATAAAGCTTTAAACATAAAAGGCAAACCGCAGCAAATGGTGTTTCAGATGATCACTTTTAGAAGTACATTTTTATGTTCCTTTTGCTACTCTTTAAGACTTGTTTATAAAAATATAAATTAGCTGTACTTCATATTATTTGAAATTATGAGATATAAAAATCCACCTCATATATGGCAGAATAAAGTTACTTTGAGAAAATAGTTAAAGCAATTCAAGTGAGGTTCTTCACTGTCCTTAGACCTGAATTGTTGACTTAATCATTGCTGGCAACATGTTGAGCTGCTAAAAAAGTATGATGTCTTCAAACAAATGTGTCTCAAGTGTAACATACGCACATGCTTGGTGACTTTGTATTAAAGTAAGCATAAGGTAGCTTAGTGATGAGAATTAATTTTAGATACACCACTAAAGCAGTTTTATTGTATACAATACTAGAAAAATTTAAATTGTATGGTTGATTTCATATCTGTTTTCAGGGTTTATTTCTGTTGTGTAGCTTTACTCTAGAGATTTAATGTGTGTAGTAAGCATAGTATTTTCAAATACAATCTGCTTTCTCAACTCACATATATGTTTGGGTACTCCCAGATTAATTTTGTTTACTTGGTTCCCATTATTAACTAAAATAACTTATTTTTAAGTCAAAATATTTTAATGTTTAAATTAAGAATAAACTTAAATTTTTAGTAGCTGTTATCTTTAGTGATACTCAAACTAGGTAAAACAATGTATTCCTGGAGAATTTTCTTACCACAGTGCGATGAAGATACAGTTGTGTGACTGTGATAGAACTGCATACCTAGGTTCATAGATACATTTGTTAGCTACTGCTCTGATGCTTTAGTCATTATTTTCGCTTTATTTGCTTACAACTGAGATAAAGTCTTAAGGTTTCCCAGGTCTAGCCTTGAACTTCTGCCCTCAGAAGACCCTTTGGTCTCAACCTTTCAAGTACAGGAAACTATAGGCGTGTACTATTATGCTTCAAGTTCACAGTGATGATTCTTAATTTTAAAAATAAGAGAGCATGGATCACCTAGATAAGCAGTGATTTATTGTTAAATATTGCCGTTAATTAGATTTCAAATGAAATTAAAGGAAGCTATGTAGAAGGTAATTTTGTGGTTTTAAATTTCTCCTTTGAGAAACTGGAGAGATTAATCGGAGGTTAAAAAAAAAACTTGCTGCTCTTCCAGAGGACCTGAATTCAGTTCCCAGCAACCACATGACAGCCCTCTGTAATCTAGCTCCAGGAGACTGTATCCCTTAAGCCTACTCAGGCCCTTCCAATCACATGCATGCACCCATCTGCAGACATGCAGTTAAACATAATAAAAATGAATTTTTTTAAAGCCTTTCTTTTTGAACACGGCAAAGAAATATTGCCTAGCTAATTTTTTATATCCATACTTGCAGTTCTTGGTTTATTAAGTGGTTTTTTAAATCACACTGTATTATTTGTTTTTATTTAGAGGAAAAGAGGGTTAATAATTTCCCCAAATAAAAATATATCAGACTATTTTCTATTAAGCTATGCATTCTGCTTGATTCCCTGTTACCTTGTCCCTCTTGGCAATTGCTGACATGTTCTGTCTCCGACATTGCTAATAACTGGCCACAAAACTGCTTTTACGCAGTGGGATATTTTTCTCTCACATTCGAGTGTTTACAAAGGTTGAGTGTCCATCCAGTTCATGGTTGAAATCTTTCAAGTGCAGATGGAGTCTATGATCTAAGAACAGAGGTTTCAAAGGTGCTGGTCAATGTGAGCTTTTGAAAGAGTTTAGCCAGGACTTTAAAAAGACACTAAGACATATATTTCCTAAAAGTTGTATCCAGTAACCCTGCAAACTCCAGGGGGTTTGTGCAGTACTTAGAAAAGTGAGTACCATACTGCTTAGCACCTTGACACTACATGAACTTAACTTGAAGTAGTTTGTGATTTCAATACACTACACTGATCTGCATTCTGTAAATGATGTCATATCTTTGTGAACTAATGAAAAGCAAATACCACAAGAAGTCAGTGTGTAAGTAGAAATAAAAATGGTAGTTCTAGTCTAAGCCCAGTGCTCAGGAAATGCAAGCATCCCCATAACATAGCCTTTGTTAGCAATGAGATAAAATCGTGTCTGGTTTGTTATATGCATAGAATTTAAGTTTTGGGATTACCAAGTTGTTAGAACAAACCACTTAACTAAGTTATTTGTACAACCTAAACTACTTAGTAAACAGCATTTTGGTGCTAAGAGCTTTGTAGACTGAGAAAGTTCAGGACCTCTGTGAGACTTTTGCATTCTCCAGTTCTGACATTTTGCTGTTCCAGATCAAACTAGTATTTTGTTTGCAGACTCTAGAGCATTTAATTCTTTCAGCAATTTAGCTCAATTAGCAAGATGTTTTTCTGCTGATATTTCGTGCAAGCACACAGTGAATACTCCCATGCCCCCAAGATAATTCATTATTATATAGTGGACCTAATGCTACTTGGACAAGGAAGATAAACAACTGTTACCAAATAAGCATCGAGTATAATTGTCAGTTCAGCAGACCAATATAGCTTTATTTTATAGTTTTTCTTTTAAAGGTTCCTTTGACAAAACAGAGACAGAATTTAGATACTTCATTAATCATTTATCTAAGTGATGAGAATTAACATCCAATACAGGGATCCCATCATTGAGATACATGTGTATCTTTTCCCACTTTAGTTCATAGTCTCTGAGGTTTTCCTAAGACCTCCCAAGAACTAGAGTGTTTTCAGAAAGAAGAAAACTGTAACTGCAGCGATGTTAGAGTAAAACAGCAAAGGGAGAGAGGTTAATTGTACTTGACAACGAAGGAAGTAGAGTGAGTGCTGTTGGATCAAGAAGGGAAATTGTGTTTCTACCTGTTAATTGTGCCAAAAGAGAAAAACCACCATCATACGGATTTAATTGGCAGGCATCTTAAAGGAGACAAACTGTCAATGTGGCTAGAAGTTTTTTTTTTAATAATGGATTAAGCTAAAATACTGAGAAAATGGAAATTTGCATGTACATTCAGTCTCTTGGTAGGGCTAGATTTTAGTACCCTAGAAAGTTCAAGTCACAAAGAGGGAATTCACATTTATTTGTCATACTCTGTATATAATGTTCATGTATATGATGGAGGGCTAATGAGATGGCTCTATGCATAAATGCTGTTGTCAGACAATCCTGATGAGTGACATTCACACATTCAGTCCCCTGAAGCCACGCAAATGTGGAAGGAGAAAACCCTGACCTACACATCCACGTGTGCCCTTGCTCTCGCGTTGTGGCTCATAGACACGCACACACACACACTCTCGCACACTCACACACATACATACACACCAATAATAATAAATAAAAATCAGTTTTAAAAAAGTGTTATTTTAAGAATCATTGAACAAAATTTCTTGCTATGAAAATAAAATACAAAATGGAAATTATTGTATAGAAAAGAAGGTAAGAGAATAAATAGATTTTATTAAAATCTGCAAAAGCTACCAAAGCTTTTGTTTTTCCTCACATTTAATTCTAATACAGCATATCTTCAAAGTACACTTAATAAGAGTTATTATTGCTCATCCTTAAGATGAAATGCTACCTGTGCCAAAAATTCTCACTGTATTTAAATTCGTGAAAAGATTGATGTACGAAGACAGAGAGTGTGTGTGTGTGTTTGTGTATTTCTAATGTTGTTAAACTGACTGAAAGAGGACACGATGAACAGGCAAGGAATTGTGAGTCCTCTGTGACTCTTCGTATATACTGAAGAGCTGCTGGTGAGTAAGCTGAACAAAGATGACGACGATTCCCTCTGTCTTTACTAGGAATAATTTCTGTGAGCTTTAGAATGCTGGTCACATGAAAACATTTTTTCTTACAGGCTGAAAAGGAAAATCCAGGCCTCACACAAGACATCATTATGAAAATATTAGAGAAAAAAAGTGTAGAAGTTAACTTCACTGAGTCCCTTCTTCGTATGGCAGCTGATGACGTAGAAGGTATCAGAAAGCAGAGCTTCCTTCAGATGGTCACCATTCAAGCAGTCTTCTTCCCTCGCCCTAAGCTCTCCATGTTTCTCCTGGTGGTGGTCGGCATTTTATAAAGTAGACAAGCAGGCCCTTTAACTTCCTCTGCTTGTCAGATTGAATTGTGGGACGTAATTTTTGATGCTGCATGCTTGCGTGTCTTTTCCTGATTATTATAATGCCTAACAAGTTTCCTTTCAGTAAAACTTCTGAGAAAAATATTTGAGTTGCATTTGAAAGAGATGAACCATTTGTCCTGTCTGATGTTACTACTAGTAGCATATCTTTTGTCAACCACAGATTTGAGAGGGCAGCGTTTTTAAACATTATTATTTTTGCTACTTTGCATTAAAAATTAGAAATAGCATTTTAAAAAATTAATAGCATTTTTCAATATTTAGAAAAATATAGTAGTGTCCTACATTTATTAATAGAGAACAGAAAGAAGGTATTTGGGCTGATTCCATGGCTTTCATTTCCTGAGATTGAACGCTTGCTGCCAGTCTGGCCAGCCAACATTTAAGGTGTAAATTGCTGAGCTTCCTGCTGGACCCTGAGCCTGGTAGTAGCCTGTTCATCTGCCGAGCCTGATTGAACCTCTTTTCCAAAAGACTGTTCTGTGATCCCAGCTCTTATGTTGGGTTCAAATGAAATTTCAGGAATGTACTGAAAATTACAACTTTATAGTTTTGATATAACAAACTACAGTCTGTCTGTTCCTCATTGTAGGGGTTTTAATATAATGAGCCATAAAATGTTCAACACTATAGGACTTTTAGTATGATGAACCATAGTATATTTCACACTTTAGGGGTTTGGTATATTGAACCATATTACATTCCATACTGTAGGAGCTTTAATACAATGAATCATCATATATTTGATACTAAAGGAAGATTAATGGACTGTAGTGTATTACACACTATTGGAATTTTAAGTCACTGATATATAAATGACTTTTGCTTTCTTCCTAAATTTCATTATTTAAATTTTCTTGGTGTAGTACAATATCAGAGGACTGATGAGCTTGATTAAAGCCTCCTCTCCTTTATGTCTGTGGATGTATGTGCTTTCAAGATTGTGTTAGGTATTACTGTATACTCATAATAAAAATGTATAGTCTTACTCTAGAAAAAACTAGATTTTGTGTTTGTTTGTTTGTTTGTTTTTAACAGACCAAAGTGAACGTCTTTCTTTTGTCTTTTCTAACTAAATGACTTTTCTCCCACTGTATCCTTCCTTTGGCCAGCTCTTACTTAGACTTGAATTTTTAGAGTCACATTGCATTTTTATTGTGGTTTTGTTTTACCAGAGTACATGATTGAACGACCAGAGCCAGAATTCCAGGACCTGAATGAAAAGGCACGGGCACTTAAACAGATTCTCAGTAAGATCCCAGATGAGATCAATGACAGAGTGAGGTTTCTACAGACAATCAAGTGAGTGACGTTTTTACTTTGACTTGATTAAAACCAAGAGTTACTGTCTTTTTTAACATGAAAATTAATTAAAATAAAATCTGAAATTTTTGTATGCCGGTAACTTTGAATATAATGGCTGCAGAATAGCCTGGCTTTTTAGATTGTTTAAATGGCAGTAGTGAATGAATTTTTGAAATAGTGAACAAATCATGATAATAATTAAAAACATGTAAATAATGGCATCCTGTGGATTTCAGATGAAAACATATGCAGACACTAGATGGGTAGCAATAAACACCAACATTGTTTTGATTTCAGAAATGGCATAAGTCTTTGGAGTAAGTGAATATATAGATGTGACTAACATTTTCTGATACTGACCAGACTGAACCCCTAAGTCCCTGCTTTTGGATTACAGGCTAAATAGCAGGGGCTAAGAGGCTGATGGGTAGGCAGACAGCATAAGGAGTAGTTCTGTAGAACTAGGCCTCAGGCTTGCGGCCCACTTGTCTTAGGTTTCCTTTGCTGTGATGAAGACCACGACCAAAATGCAGCTTGGGGAGGAAAGGTATTTGGCATAAGGTCACCAGACCATTGAGGAAATGTTGAGTGAAGCCTTTTCCTTGTCAGCCAGCCGCTTTGGTTTTTCCCCACCAGTCGTCTGGCCTCTGCCACGTTGTAGTCCCCAGATAACACACAAGACGCTGTATTAATTACGAAGCTGTTGGCCTTGCTTGTTTCTTACTGGCTAGCTCTGACTTAAGTATTTACCCCATAATTGTTAATCTAAGTATTTCTCTTACCGGAGAAGTTTCCGGGCTTCTTACCCCTATGGCAGCTACATGATGACTCTCTGTTTCTCCTTCCCAGAGTCCTCCAGGACTCCTAGTCCCACCTATCTTGCTTCCCTATTGGCTGACAGTGCTTTATTGACATACACACAGGACTTCCCCATCAAGGAAAGCCGAGGCAGGAGCTGAATGAAGCAGAGGCCATAGAGGAGTCCTATTTACTGGCTTGCTCAGCTTTGCTGTATACCTCATGACTACCTGTCCAGGGCTGCTCTGCCCACAGTGGCTTGACTCTCCCACATCAGTCATCAACAAAGAAAATACCCCGTAGGCTCACCCACAGGCCAGTCTTACGGAGACATTCTCAGTTGATGTTCACTCTTCTCAGATGACCGTAGTTTGTGTCAAGTTGACAAAAAACTAACCAACACACCACCTTTGAGGTTTGTCTAATGAAGGAAGGAACTATATTTTCTAGCTAAGTGTCTATGACAATTCTATTGAGTCCCAATAGATAGAAAGCAAAGCAAGCTGGAATAATTATGTCTCTAATCAATGCAGTGTTTGGGGAAACCATAGGTAAAAGTCTCTGGAAATGATAGCTTTATTACCACATGTTTCTGCAGCATAGGTTACACTGCATGTTACCTTGGAAGCATAAAGCTATACACTTACAAAGTTCACTTGGAATAAATGAAATAAATAGTTTTGTCTTTCGTGAATATTCTGTATAACTTACATTGTACAGTGCTATGTCAAATGTTTGGAGCACGTGTTTTGAGTGAAAAGAAGTCAGGAGTATGTCCCAGTATAAAAAAGTTGTTTGTGATAGATTTACAGACAAACTATCATGAATGACTCTCCACTCTTGTAGCAGTTGGAGAACCAGGCGTATGGAAAAAGGTCATTACAATATAACTGTCGGTTTAGGGTGCTGTATTTTTAACTTAATGTACTTGAGTGAAATGTATATGACACATTAATGGATCCATTGTGACTGATCTCAAGCTCAGGTGTTTAGATGATTACTTATTAAATTTCTACTGACTTAATACGATTTCCGTAAGGTTTTAGTAGCAGCAGTCACTTATGTTCTAAACCCAATTTCAAAACTTTCCTGTGTTAATTTATTGGTAATTATTCATCTAAGAGATGAGAATGGGGACCCCCCGCCACACACACACACAAATAAGTTATATTCTTAAGGTTATAGAGCAGAGTGCACTCTGGTAGCCTGATGCCGACACCCTTTGCTGTTTTCCATTTCTAGATTGATAACATTGAGCTAATCCTGTGTCAACAAATTTCTGCCATTTGAATAAAATGTAATAAGGATATTATCTATTGAATGTCAAAAGATTAGAGAGAGGACTAGTATAATGAAAACCTAGGCAGAAAGGTAGAACCAGAGACCTCATCTCTTACCTGGATAGTTTCTTCCTAGGGCGGTGGTTCTCAATTTGTGGGTCATGGCCCATTTTGGGGTCACATATCATATATGTTGTATATCAGATATTTCTATTAGCATTCATAGTAATAGCAAAATTACAGTTATGAAGTAGCAACAAAAGAATTTTATGGTTGGGGGTCACCACAACTTGAAGAAATGCATTCAATGGTTGTAGCATGAAGAAGGTTGAGAGAGAGAACCTCTGCCCTAAGGAGTCAGTGAGGCATCTTTCCTAAGCCTATTGTGGCTTCAAGGAAGAGGACTGCAAGCTGTATTTATGAGCAACTCCGTTTTAGCTCAAGCCCTTGAGAATGTGCCCATAGTTTTTAACAAAGGCTGGACATTGCAGTGTTTCACTTTCACTCTTTGACAGTACTAAGCGTAATTAAATTAAGAGTGTTGGCAGTAGAAATGTATTCCTATACATTTGAGGATTCATTTGCCTTGGTAAGTTTTTGGATGACCACATTATTTCTGAAATGAGAAGTCAAGCATTGATGGCTACAGTTCAATTTTTGCTTTAGCATACCTTACCTTTTCATATTTAATTACCCTTCTTTCCCATATCTTTGCAACATTAAACCCATATGATTATTGCACCAAATGCTTTAGACATATAAATGATGCTGTAGGTTACATTTATGCAGTGAAAATATTTCTGATGACTAGTAAGTATGAAAGCAGTTTAATGTATTTTTGCTAACTTGGTTTTGAATCTCCATTGTAATACATAGCTGTGTTACAAGTTGTTTAGCTTCTTATTTGGTGTCTGACTCTCAGTGATGGTTAATGCTTTTGAGAGCTGAAAGAAAACCTGGAAAGGGCTCATCCTTCTCTTTACATAGTTGGTTAGGAAAAAAATTAGTCTGAGAACATTGTAAATATTTTTTGATTAATGAATGCTTTTGTTTGTCTACTTTTGAATTGGGTAGATCTTTGTAGAATTAGTTTATATTGAAAATCTGACACATTCCAATTGGCGATGACTAGTGGAGAACCCTGATTATGCATCAAAAAGTCATGCATTCATTGGTTTCTTCTTGTTGTTTTTAGTTTTGCTAAATCCTGTATACATTTCATTTCATCTCATGTCCATTGCCTACATTACATGACAGTAAATGTGCTAACCAGAATTTTCTTACTAAAAAACACACTTCTTTCTCTGTATCATGATGTCTGTCAGTCTATCAGTTATAATAATCTATCTGCTACAAAGGCTTCATATTTGTATGAAAGTTATTTTACCTCAATTCTTTATCTGGTTCTTTTGTGCTGGTATGTTATGTTCTTTATAGTTTGCTAACTCTCAGGTTACTAATATTACTAATAGAATTCAATCTCCCTAGTACAAACCTTGGTGCTATACATGAAAATGCTTTTCTGTTTATTTATGAATAACGTATTTGACATAAGTTATTTCAGCATGTTTTTCAAGAACAGTTTTCAACAACTGGGTAAGTCACTAACAGTGTTTTGCTTGATCTCCAGGTAGATCAGGCTTAGGGATAAATAGTGTTGGTCAATAAAATTTAAAAGTGGTCTATACTACTAAGTTATCAGATCTTAGCTGCTTATTTCCAGTTAGAAATGGGTTTAAAATGTGTCAGTAACAGTTAGCTAGGAAGTATTTTTCTACCCTTACCCCAGCCAAAGTTGCACAGGTTCTTAATTGTATTTGTAACAGATATACAGGAATTCAAAGTTGTATCTCTCCGTGGGGTGCTGTGTGCTGTTCAGTGCATGTTTGCCTTATATAAAATTTAAAAATCCTGGGCTTTTAGAACGAATAGTACATGGTAGTTATCTATAGTCACTCTGTTATGCAGTACTGCTGCAGAACTTGCTTCTATCTGACGTAGTGCCTATTGATCAGACTTTCCCCATGTAGATCCCTCCTCTGCCCCCAGTGCTTTACTCTTTTATAGGATCTACTTTTTAGACTGTACTAACAAGTGAAATAGCATATTATTGTATTGTCTTTCTGTGCTTTTATTTCATCTAATAATAATCTCTGACTCTCCCCATACTGTCACAAATTAGAGGGTTCCATTGTTTTTCACTGTTGAATAGTGTTTCATAGTGTATGTGCACTGTGTTACCTTATTCATTCATCTAGCAGATGGTAGACACCGCGACCAGGCTTGTTTCCTATGTTTTCTGTTGTTGTTGTTGTTGTTTTAACGATTTTGTGAAGAGCTCTGTGGTGAATGGGGGAGTATAGAACATCTGTTTGATAATCTGTTTTATTTAGATGTGTACCCAAGCAGTGAGGTTGCTAGTGTCCAGTTTTTAACTTTCTGAAAAACCCTAACACTGTTGTTGGTGATTACATCATAATATACAATCCTACATGCAGTATTTGTGACTCCTTTTCTGTATAGCCTTGCCAGCACTTATTATCTTTGTGTTTTTATTTACTGTCGCTCATCCTAGGGTGATGCAATATCTTATTATGCTTTTGATCTGTGTTTCTTTGTTACTTAGTGCTGAATGGTTTTTTTTTCATCCACCTGTTGCACACTGGTGCTTTGAGAAATGTCTATTTAAGTTTCTTGTTCATTTGTTAATATGTTTATTTTGCTACAGTGTTTTATGCTCTTATCTGGTGTTTGGGTAACATCGCTTCTTAGAATTTCTTGTTTGTTTTTTAATGAAGAGAATTTGGTAGCGATTTTGTCAATTGGTATTTTAAGTTTTGTTGTTCAGAAATTAGAGAGTAAAGATTCTCAATGTTCAAGTCTCACATTGTGTTCCAGATAGGCTGAAGCCTTGTCTAAACTCCCTGGCCAGGGGTTGGACATTACATGGTTGTCCTTGGCTTCAGACAGAGTCACTGTGACCACCATGCCACCAGTCTCTGTCATACTCCAACCTCATGGTCAGTGAAGACCACAATATTGGAGGGTTAGGGCAGAGCCTATCCTTGCAAAGGTTCTTGTTTGGCAAATTTGCAAGCAAAGAAGGTTCTAGGCATGAGTGATACTCCTAGATTAGAATTCTGGTAGACTAGGGTCTGTGTTTCCATGAAACTTAGAGCTTTTCTGGATGCTCTTCTGACAGGGCAGCCTGAGAAACTGCCCAGTGTATCACCTGTCTTAGCAAATGTGGTCTGTCACCACCCTGTACTTGTTCTTTCTTTCATACAGGACCTCAGTGTCTCTTAGGACCTTTGCCTCATGCTGGCCTTGGAACTGGGCAGTGAGCCAAAGCTGTGCTAACTTTCCTGCCCTGTTTGTTTTTCCTCCCTGCTTGTTTTGTAGAGCAGAGTCAGTCTAAGAGTGATTGAGGTCATCAGCCCTGTGGCCTGTTGCTGTTCTAGGAGCTAAATCCACAAGCTCTTGGGACTTGGCCCAGTCCTAGGTCTCACTGTGACTTTGCTAGGACTTTGCTAGGACTCTTGGATCTCTTCTTCCTCTGAGAGGTACCTCTCTCTGAACTGGGCTTGTTGAAGTTGAAAGACAGGAATGAGTCAGACTCTTTCCTTTCAACTTCCTATAATGCATCTAAAACCAGGCTCTCTGCTCTCTGTCCTGAGTCCCATAGCTTTGTGCTGATAGTTTGGTATTTGTGATAGCTCTTTAACGTGGTGTGCTGAGGAAGGGCTCACTAGCGACTGTGACTCAGCCTTCATCATGCTCACCTTTCAGATCGAGGGTAAACTCCAGCAAAGCCCTTTCTCCTTCCTGCCTTGCTTTCCTTTCCAGCTAAGTTAAGCAGTGTTTCTGAGCTGCTCATTTGTCTGCTGTGTCCTTTCTGTTCACATCTCCCTCGTCAGCCTTGACAACAGTGTGCAGTTACTTTTTGTAGAGTATTAAAATACACTAAAGAACGATGCTGCATTTATGTATCTATGTGATTGCTGTTATATTCTATTTTAGTTAGCTCCAGTATGAATTTATTGAACCTTACACATGTAGAGATTTAGTGTTTTTGATTGGTTGCAGCTATAGCTTTTCTCAAAAACATGGTAAGGTCATGCGACACCATTTTATTAAATGTGCCCATCACAGCACAGCAGAGTATTGAAGCTTTCTGAAAGTACAGACACCCTTACATGGTTTAGGCTGCTACTACTAAACTAGAGGTAGTGATGGTAACAAGTGACCAGGTGACATTTTTATGTCAGAATAATTTTACTCAGGTAGGTAATATTTTATGTTCCATCCTAATATCAACACCTTAAACATGGGAGCTGACATATTTTTACCATAATGTTTAGTTTAAAAAAAAAGTCATTACTACTTCAGAATGAGCCTGAACTGAGAAAATTAAGTGTGGAAATGAGTACTCTGAGAGTCTGTCAGGATATGACTCAGTTGGTAGAGTGCTTGCCTAGCATTCATGAAGAACAGGATTCAGTCTCCAGCACTGCCTAAACTAGGAATGGAGGTGGATCAGGGAGGATGTAGAAGTTCAGAGTTCTTGGTTACATGGTTAGTTCAAAGCTAGCCCTGGTTACTTGAGATCCTGTCTTTAGAAAAACATAACCAGCAATGTGTGTGATGCACATCTTTAGTTCCAGCACTCAAGAGGCAGCCACAGGAAGTCACTGTGTTTGTTACCAGCTTGGTCTATGTCAGTGAGGGAAAGGGAGTGGTATAATGTGATACACACACACACGCACACACACGCGCGCGCACACACATACACATACATACACACACACACACACACAATCAGTATAGCTGATTCTAAAGATTCTTTGTCCTTTCTTAACAGGGATATAGCTAGTGCAATAAAAGAACTACTTGATACAGTGAACAATGTCTTCAAGAAATATCAATACCAGAACCGCAGGGTAAGTTGCTTGTTTTTGCCACCCTAGATATGAGCTTATTTGCAATTGTCTTCTGACCTGTGTACCAAAGGGTTTGGTTGTTGGAAATTGTCTCACTGAGTTTGTCTTCACCTGTAAAATATCTGTGATTATGTTAGTGAGCACTCTTAAAAAGATTTACTGAATATAAAGTTCACCCCATATTCATTATAGTTATTGGCCTTTATTAGGCTTTTGTGACTTGGTTTTTCTTTTCATAAACATAGGCACTTGAACACCAAAAGAAAGAATTTGTAAAGTACTCCAAAAGTTTCAGTGACACTCTGAAGACATATTTTAAAGACGGCAAGTAAGTTCTGTCATTTATACTTTTCTACTAAAATTAAATGTATGCATTTTTGTAGGACATTAAAACCATGTAAATTGTACCAGTAAGAGGACTCCATGGGTAAAGGCTCTTGCAACCTAGCCTAACAATAGGAGTTTAGTTGCGAGCACCCACTTGAGGGAGAGGGAAAGGAAAAGGGAGGAGAGAGTAAGTTAAGCTCTTGTCTTTCATTGTTAATACTAAAGTCATGTGGTTTAACAAGGCAGGTGACTGGAAAGTGAGCAGTTGCTGTTCTAACCACAACTCCAGCCTAGACTGAGGATTTTTGAGACTAATCTTCACCAGTTTCCTGATATCTTTTCTTTGGTCTTTTGATTTTTTTTTTGTCTGTTTTGTTTTTGCCATTTAGAGATATAAAGCCATTCTTAACTTATTAGTTTGTACCCACCCCTAAAATAGATTTTTTTCAAACTTTAGTAGCATCTGATGAAGGTCTGGAATTGGGGTCCAGTCATTTCTAAGATTCTTCAGGTGCTGTCAAAGCTGCCAGTCCCTTGAGAAACTAATACATAGAGGTTAATACAGTAATTCTCAGTCATGTCACATGCTAAAACCATTTAGGTCAGGTTTTTAACATCTCATTACCACAATTCCACTTGGAGAGATTTCTATTCTTGTCCTGCTTAGGAGCATGGTCTAGGTGTTTTGCAAACCTATCCAGGTGGCTTTGGAGTGCTGCCAGGCTAGGGACACTATCCTAAAGGGCAGGTAAAGTAGCTTATCACGTTTTTCTACTACATAAGAATTACACTAAAGAGACAGGACACTCGAAATGGAAAGAAGATAAAAGCAAATGAATATTTAAGAGAACTATATGAAAGTTGTAAGTTTACACAACATGTGTAGAGCACTGCATGGATCTAGGGATTGTGTTTTTTGTGTTCATTTACTCAGTATTTAAGCAGATGGTGTGGCTTATGACTTCCATAGTATGCCTCATATAGGTTGTTGACTGTACTTAAGGTAAAATGCTAGAAACTGTGTTGAGAAACACTTCTATTTGTTTGTTTGTTTTGTTTGGGTTTTTTGGAGACATAGAGTTTCTCTGTGCAACAACCTTGTCTTTGTAGACCAGGCTGACCTCAAACTCACAGAGATCTGCCTGCCTGCTGGAATTTAAGGTGTGTGCCTTAAATTGACTGAAAAGCCTTTTAATAATGTATAAAATTTCAAAAATATCTTAAACATGCACTGCAAACATCCTTGAAGTTTTAGGATCTTATATAAAAGTATACCCTTATGATATTTATTGTAATAATATTTTAAAATAAAAGTACTTTGAAATGAAAATTTTAAGGTCAGTTTTAATGTTCAGACAAACTAAAATACTTTCATTTCTATAACAAATTAAAGATAGTTACATTAATGGTTTTATGTTGCAAATTTAGATTGTCTAGAGGAAATGATCCTTTGTGGCTTAGTTTAACAAATGAAGGCCAAACAACCAAAGGTATAATTTACATAATGGTATAATTATTTCTTATTTTAATTAATAAATAATGTATAATAAGCCTTGAATGTTGAGAATTTACAGTTCAGTAATCTTATTTATGTATGGATTATTCCAGCTTGCTACTGTCTCCCCACCTTTTAGTAGCTTTATGTTCAGTTTTGTTTTGTTTAAGTTTGTGCTGTGAGTTTTGTATTTTTTGTACTCCAAATGGAATTTTTGCGCTCTTTTAAGACATCTTGTACTGGGGATACAAATTCTCATTGATTCAACTGGGTCATTCCTAACTCTGCCTGGGTGAGAAATGTCTAAGAGGAAGATCCAAACTTCAGCCCTGGCACAGAGGGACTGATAAAGCTACAGAACGGGACTAGCCACACACAGTGAGACCAGTGGCTCAGCTCTGCTCTGAAGTCACATAAAGACAGGCCTCTGGGGTCACATCCTAGTGCATAAAGCTACTTTTAAAAGCAAGCTTTCGTCCCTGTCCAGTGTCAAATACTGAATCACTTAGCTGTTTTTGCTTTTGTTTTTAGGCATGGGTTTATATAGATTTAGGTGGGTGAGATTAGAAGAGGTTAACGTTTCTGTTTTTCATGCCCATCAATGCAGGGTGTTATTGTGTCATAGTAGCTCTTGAGACTTAGTGTCATGCTTCAGCAGGTCATGTTAACTGGAGACCTCATCTGAGTCTTTATTCGAGCATATCCGATTTTATTTTGTTAACAAAAATTTTTTATATTTGTATGCTATTTTGTATATGAAATCATAGCTGAAGACCAAATCTTTGACCACTGATTTGTTAAGCCTGTAAATGGATGTTGGGGTAGCAACCTTTAAAAACTGTATTGGCAATCATAACCACCAGGGGGCAGTAAGTAATTCCTAGACACTATAATTGAAACACTAAAACATTAAATCCCAAGCTGGAATGAAAATTTAGGATACACAATACTAATTTGTCCTTTCCCCCCTTTTATTTCATTGCTACCATTGATATAAGATGTTAACTATAAATATTTTATTTTAAAAAATGAATTTTGGGAATGACATTAATGCTTGCTGTTTTTCTTTTTAAACAGGGCAATAAATGTGTTCATAAGTGCCAACCGGCTAATTCATCAAACCAACTTGATACTTCAGACCTTCAAAACTGTGGCCTGAAAGTTGTATATGTTAAGAGATGTATTTCTCGGTGGCAGTATTAAACTGCATTTATCTGTAAATTTTAAAGTTTGACTGTATAAATTATCAGTCCCTCCTGCAGGGATCTAATCCAGGATGTTGAATGGGATTATTGCCATCTTACACCATATTTTTGTAAAATGTAGCTTAATCATAATCTCACACTGAAGATTTTGCATCACTTTTGCTATTATCATTCTTTTAAGAATTATAAGCCAAAAGAATTTACGCCTTAATGTGTCATTATATAACATTCCTTACAAGAACTGTAAATATTGGTGTTTGTTTCTGACATTTTAACTTGAAAGCGATATGCTGCAAGATAATGTATTTAACAATATTTGGTGGCAAATATTCAATAAATAGTTTACATCTGTTAAACATTTCTTTACTTGAAAAAGAAGGATGCGTGTGTGTGTGTGTGTGTGTGTGTGTGTGTGTGTGTGTGTGTATGATCAGGAGACCAAGACAACTTGGTCTGATGTTAAAGATCTTCTAATGGGAGCTTACTAGCAGTTTATCAAATAATAAAGCAACAAGAATTCCTATTTTTTTTTGTCCTTAATCACTTTGGGCAAAATGTAGTCAGTTAAAGTACTTCTGTTAGTTGTTCCATATAAAGAACTGGATTTTTTTCACTGTTTGTAATCGCTAGAGAAGAAGAACAGTCTACAATGTTTTTATCTGAAATGATGCTTTCTGAACTGTATGACATTGTAGAGCTTGACTCCAAGAAACTACTTCTGGTATGCTGGCCCTGATGAGCTCTGCACAGTGCCCCCAAAGTAGAACTATTCCAATAGTTGTATTGAGATTTCATCAGTGTTACTATAATAGACACTCTTTAAATATGTATAATTTATTTCGCACTAGAGAAGTTATAAGGAAGCTATGTATCTAATATTTGTATGGAATGATTTGAGTATTCAGTTATGATAAAATAAAGGGAAAATCAGGTTTTGTTCATCTTTTATAAAGAAATTAAATATTAAAGTAAATCTGCTGACAGTATATTTTGGCTATAATAGAATTTAGTTATTTTTGTTTCAATTTCAGAAAATGTGTTTTTAAAGATTACTGTCATTGATAATATAAACAACCCTGATAAATAGAAATCAGTATGGGAAAGAAAGCTACACAGAAAACTCAGATCAGTGATTGAACTCTTACAACTGTGAACATGTTCCTAATTTGATTTGTCATTCTTCAAAAGTGTACAACCATTAAAACAAACATAACTGATAATCTTTAGTATTTTCATCAAAAACTATCATTTATTTTTGGAAGATATGAAGAAAGGCAAGTGTGTTATTTGTACAGGGGTTTCTAACCAAAACTGTCATTTCCCTTTCTTTTATTCTCACTGCTCCATAGGAGTTGCTAGCTTTGTTTCTATAAGTCTTCTCTCTTCATAAGTCTTCATCTACTGTATGTGTGTTGTAGTGAAGCATATGTCCTTAAAGAGGAGCAGCCAATTCTGAGTGTCAGTTACTTCCATAAATCCTTCCAAAGCAGCTAAGTTGAATCAATGAAGAGATCCAGTGTCCAGGTGGCTTTTGAGGAGAGGCATGGAAGAAAACTCATTGTCCTGCTGCTTTCTGTGTCAAGTACTATTGAGAATGCATTTAATTAATTTGACCTCTGAAGCGTTCCTTAACTGAGTCATCGTCATCTTTGTAGTTGAAGAAACGATGAGGCTGTAACATGGCTGTGTGCAGGGGCCTGAGCTTTGGGTTCACATGTCCTGTATGTTCTCTTCACTTGTCTCTGCTCCATTGCCAGAGACACTGTGAGAGTCTGCGTCACCAAACCCCTTTCTAATGCACTGGGTTATACATTAGAACGGTGTGACTTAGTCTCAGATATCTGCATAGACTTGAACGACCTACCACAGCAAATGATAGATGCATAGGCTTGAACGACATACCACAGCAAATGATAGATGCATAGGCTTGAACGACATACCACAGCAAATGATGGATGCATAGACTTGAACGACATACCACAGCAAATGATAGATGCATAGGCTTGAACGACATACCACAGCAAATGATGGATGCATAGACTTGAACGACATACCACAGCAAATGATAGATGGGCGATGTTGGGGTGAATAACCAGTGGCTGTCCTTGTCAATAGGTTTTTAGTTTTTCGTATGGAAATAACTTCAAACTCTCAGGACACTTGCAAGAATAATAGTGGCACAAGGTGAAAACTGTGTTCTTTTTGCCATCTTGCTTGTCCTGCCTTGCATCCTCTGTCCTCCGGATGCTTTGCATGCCTCACACCCTCAGTGTTCCTCACTCCAACTTATACATCCTTGGTCGGTTGTCATGGGGATGGAATTTCGAACACATACCCACTCCACGTATGATTCTAGTTCTCGCCTGCTTATAGCGTGAATGTGTTTCTCCGATGTATAGTATAACTTCTCAGCTAATAAGCAAGGCTAACATCTTGCTCTGGGAATGAACATGTGATGCTTCTTGCTCCAGTCTGATTGTGACTTTCCAACTCTAGTGTATCTTTCCACATTTGCCAGGCAGCCCTGCAGAAGTCCCTTCCCCATCCCTTCTAGTCATCCAGCTATGTTCCCACCTGAATTTGAATGTTGTCACAGGCTCCTAAGCTTGTGCTGTTGTTTACCTAGTGGTTTTTATCCCATACTTTAGTACTCAGATTATTTTAAATTTAGCAGATAACTCCTTCCAGCTGGCTCCTGTGCCCTGTGAGTTCTCTTTTCTGTTTTTATATAGATGTGTGTCACTTAAACCCCCCCGGTAATTAACTACATAAACCGCATCCCAGATCTGGAATCAGCAATTTCTTCATAGAACCAGAGGGAAGTTACTAAAAGTTAAGAGCTGGATCTTGGGTGTTTTCATTGCATCTAGGCCATTCAACAGACAAACTAGGAAATGTGTGCCTACCTACATATAAGTATACACGTACCTGTGTCCTTAGGCTGACCTAGGGAATGCATTCATAACTCCAATTCTTTCTTGTCATCCTCTCTATATTTCTGTGCCTTTAAAACCATGGTTAATCACTGCACTTGTTCATCACGGAACTGTTCCCCAGAGAGTCTTAGACTTATTTTATTCACCTCGCTAAACAGGAATATCTGTTCCCTGTGGATCTGTGTCCTGCAGCACACATGTGATGTAAGAGCAAGACTTTCAAGGGTCAGTTTTCTCCTTCACAGGTCCTGAAGATGGGTTGATGGCAAGGATCTTTACCAGCTCAGGCATCCCGCTGCCAAACTCCTTTTCAGTTTTAGAAAAACTTTGCAGAGTTGTAAATTCCAAAGTTCTTGAGAACTGTATTATCAACTGAGCCTTAGAGATGCAATCTCTAAGTTATTGTTGCTCCCCAGAGGAAATACTGAGCACAGTGCACTTTTTCTGTCTGCACCCTCTCCTTCCCCATGGGCAGAACTGCAGGAAATCAGTGAGCTCTGTTACATTTTTTTCCTGCTGTGCTTGCAGTTGGCTTGTAGGATAAGTTCTGGTGCAATTACTTGAAGAGGTTCTGAATGGTCTGTTGATGCTACCTATGATTTGATCATCAAGTGTCTTTTTTTCTATTTTTTTTTGTTTTTAGGTGTTTTTTATTTTTAAATTAAAATTCAAATTAGAAAGAAGGTTGCTTCATGTGTCAATTTCAGGTCCCTCTCTGTTTCCCTCCCCTCCTCCGGTGCCCTCCCACCAACCCCCTCAATATCCCCTCATTTACCCAGGGAGGGTGAGGCCCTCCATGAGGGTGTCCATAGTCTGTCATTTGATCCAGGACAGGGCCTGGACCCTCCCCCAAGAGTTCAGGGTGAGAGTGCATCTCTCATTGTTGGATGGGAGTCCAAAGTCCATTTGTATACCTGGGATAAATACTGATCTATTACCCAAGGCTCAATAGATTACCTAGGCCTCCTCACTGACACCCATAGTCAGGGGGTCTTGATCAGTCCCATGCTGGATTCCCAGGCATAGTCTGGGATTCAAGAGTTAACCCTTGTCAGGTCAGCTGATTCTGGGGCTTAAACCAGCCCAGTCTTAACCCCTTTGCTCATCAGTCCTCCCTCTATTACTGGCTTTCTTGAGTTCAGCTCAGTGCTTAGCCATGGGAGTCTGCCTCTTCATCCATCAGCCACTGAATGAAGGTTCTGTTTCCCAGACTCTCTGGCCATGGGATTGTAGGCTGGCACTCCCCATATCTATGTCTAAAATCCATATATGAGAGAGTACATGCCATGTTTCTCTTTTTGTGACTGGGTTACCTCGTTCAGGATGGTTTCTTCTATTGCCATCCATTTGCTTGCAAATTTCTGGAATCCATTGTTCTTTTACTGCTGTATAGTGTTACGAGAATCTTTTCCTTTGCTAGCCGCTTTGGTTTATCCCCCGCCAGTCGCCTGGGCTCTGCGGCGCCAGCCTGGTTCTAGATCCGCATGAGTCCCAAATAAACACACAGGAGGCTATATTAATTATGAAGCTGTTGGCCTTGTTTGTCTCTTACTGGCTAGCTCTGCCTTAAGTAATTACCCCATAATTGTTAATCTAAGTATGTTTCTTACCGGAGAAGTTTCCGGGCTCCTACCCGGCGTTACATGTCGACTCTCTTGTGTTTTCCCTTCCCAGAATCCTCCTCGACTCCTAGTCCCTCTTATCTAGGTTTTCTATTGGCCAGACAGTACTTTATTGACAAATGCACAGGCAAATAACAGGACTTCCCCAACATCTCCTCTTTTCTGTTTAAACAAAAGAAAAGTCTTAATTTTAACATAGTCAAATTGTATATGACAGAACAGTTATCAAGTAAGAACATAGTTACAATATTTTAGCAAGATTTAAAGAAAATATCATCCATCCCATCCTTGTGAGTCAAAAGTTCTATATGTATCTTTTATCATAACTAAGGAAAACTATAATTATAACTATCTGTCTTCAACTCCATCAAAGACCACAGAAGGATAATATATAAACACTAGGATTGACAGAGATATCTTACTGCCTGGACAGTCACCCGAAGTTCCTCTGTAACGTTGGTGCATCCATCTTCAGCCCATAGGCTACAATGTGTCCAGAAGATTTCTCAGCAAAGCAGGAAATTTCAAACTGTCCATCTGCATTGGCAGTCTGTAAGTCATTTTTCTTTGTCCTGCAGAAAGTCTCGTAGACTCTTCATGAAGCGGGAACCCTGTAAGACTGAGTTCAGTAGTCACTTTCCTGTGGGTCCTGCTTGTCCAGTTTATACAACAACAGTCAAGAAGTACAGGCAAGAGCAGCTCTTGCCCAAATGGCTAATCTTGCCATGTTGAAAGCAAACTCCATAGCAAGTTTCTTCGATGCCCATCTTCCTCTCAGACGTAATTGGTGCTGCCAGG